GTGCGTTGCGTGCGTTGCGTGCGTTGCGTGCGTTGCGTGCGTTGCGTGCGTTGCGTGCGTTGCGTGCGTTGCGTGCGTTGCGTGCGTTGCGTGCGTTGCATGCGTTGCGTGCGTTACGTGCGTAGCGTTAACAAAGATATACGTTCGATGCCCTTTTGGCCTGTCACTGCGTAGGTGGTCCGTCACTGTGCATGATTTTTCTGTACGACGTTTTTTTTACATATTGACGTTTTTCCCCGTTTGAATCGGACCACGTGATACACGCTTAAGTCCTTTTGACATTGCGCATGTGCACTTGCGAATGGCTAAAGATACACGCTTAGGTCCTTTTGGCATTGCGCATGTGTAGTTGCAAATGACAAAATATCACGTAGAATGACGTTGATTATATACATCATCTTGTAAATGATTATTAAATGTCCTCGTGGCCGAGCGGTCTAAGGCGCCAACTGGTAATCTCTGGGTCGGTGGATCGATCCCCCGTGTAGTCAGATTTTTTTTAATAAAAAAAATCTGATGTGTCCAACACATGACTTTCCTATCTAGGTATTACAGGCTTTTTCCGGTTATTTTGTACAACCTATTGCAGCATCTCTATAAATGTTTAGAGGATAAACTAAATATATACATTGTCCACATACATCTACCGCGAAACATTTTTCTATAGATATTCATTGAAAATGAAAATACTGAAAAATTTAAATTTGGCACTTTTCCTACAATTTTTCCATTACGGTCCATTTTAAAAAAATCATGTATAAACAAATATTATAGAGATCGATATCGCAAACAACTTTTATTTCAACAATTTTCATAAAAATCAGAATTTTGCACATTTTGTCAAATTTTTCGAATACGGACCATTTCAGGAAATTTTTACATAAAGCAAAAATTATAGATAATAATATTAGAAGTAACTTTTATTTGAACAATTTTTTTCTTCAAACATAAATAACAGATATATTCCATAAAATATAAAAACGGCCTCCCATAAAGTACCCCCCCAGATGTTCCGACTTTGTCCAAAATCTAATCATTTCACGTCAGGCCGAAATAAAACTTAAGTTTAAAATTTAATGTTTTTTCTTTATCCATTTTTGAGTTTTCTTCAAATTTCGAAATTTACACATTTTCTCAAATATCTCGAATACGGTCCATTTTAGAGAAATTATCTATAGGATAAAAATTATAGAGAATTATATTACAAACAACTTTTGTTTGAACAATTTTTATAAAAAAAAATATTTTTTTACATTTTGTCAAATTTCGCGAATACGGACCATTTTAGGAAAATTTTGTATATAACAAAAATTATAGATAATAAAATAAGAAGTAACTTTCATTTGAAGAATTTTCTTCCCCAAACGTAAATAACAGATATATTCCATAAAATATAAAAATGACCACCTATAAAGTACCCCCCCAGATGTTCCGACTCTGCCCAAAATCTAATCAGCTCATTAGATGTTGGAACAAAGCTTAAGTTTGAAATTTGGTGTTTTTCCGTCTATCGGTTCATGAGTTATGCGTTATACAGACACACACACACACAGACACACACACACACACACACACACACAGACACACACACACACACACACACACACACACACACACACACACACACACACACACACACACACACAGACATCATCGCGAAAATAGTCAAAACGGATTCAAGGGACCTCAAAACGTAAAAATCCGTCGAAAACTCGAGGTCGAAAAAAATCATGATTCCTATACTTTCCTTATATCTGTATACAGATAGGAAAGTAAAAATGGTTTAAAAATAAAATTATATTAAATGGTGTATGGTGGATTGCTGTGATATATTACGTGTATAGAATGAGAGATGGATGACACGTGACTAAACAATTAAAAAGCAATTAAAAATCGATTTGCTGTACACGACACGTGACTAAACAATTAAAAATCGATTAGTAGATAAGAATTGCGTGGGCGTGGCAGGGCGGTATCAACAAAGGAAAATTTGGGTTCCCACGGTCAGTAAAAAACACGTGACTAAACAATTAAAAAGCAATTAAAAATCGATTTGCTGTACACGACACGTGACTAAACAATTAAAAATCGATTAGTAGATAAGAATTGCGTGGGCGTGGCAGGGCGGTATCAACAAAGGAAAATTTGGTTCCCACGGTCAGTAAAAAGTTCCCAGGCCCAACTGTCCTGACCCCTGCTGTCGTGATTTGATTTCTGGTGAGAGAATTGCCTTCAGAGTATATGACAATAGTTTTGCATGATACTTGCTGATTTTTCATGTAGGTAAATTCAAGTACAAGTAAATTCAGATACAAGCAAATTCAAGTTACCTTTCGAGTTTTAATATTTATTGGTTTATAGTTTATTGGCATTTACTATATATTTGCCTGGTATGATGTTAACCAAAATTATTTAAAATTTTAAATTAACATTAAGTAGGTAGGGGTATCTAAATAAAACACTGTCCTAAAAATATATAATTTTTTAATAAATAATTACAAAAAAAACATGGTATGGCAAAAAATATCGTAAAAAAACTTTAAAAATTTTTAAAATAATGTTTTAAATATATAAAATACTTTAATTTTATTACCTAAAATGTTATTTAATTTTTTTATGCTTAGTTATTAATGTTATAACTTACTGCAACGTTTCTTTTTGCAGCAGGTGGTGTTCCAAAAACAGTTGAATCAGAACTAAAAACCCATACATTAGATATACATACATATAGGTAATAAATAATGTTTAGAGGTAAACAAAAAATTTATATTTTGTATTTTTACCTGTTGGATAAGTCATCCAAAAATAGAAAGCCCTCACACCGTCTGGAGTTTGCATTTTGTCTAATATATCTAGTACCATTTGCACGTACCAAAACATTTTCAGGAAAACACTGTTCTAAACACAACTCTGGGTTTTTACGAAGGGGATGATTTTCAAGGATTCCTATTAGAGAAAACCAAAGTTTTCTTTTCTCAGGATCTTGCGGAAACCTAAATAGAGTAATAAAAAATATGTATAGGTGCTCAATAGGTAAATCATTTTTAAGGTATTCTACATTTTACGTTAAATTTTCTTTGCCACTATTCAATAATTTATTTATTGGTATAAGAAAAGTTTACTAATTTATAAAAGGAATATCACTTTAAAAACTGTTTTAAGATTGTTTTAGACTACACAAGTTTTTGATACAATTTCTTGTACAATTTAAATTGTATATTATCAAACCTGCAGTAAATTGTCTGAAAAATTAGTTTGGATAATCTTTTTTCAAACAATTTACTATGTGATCCTATATAATTTAAATTCTATAAGAAATTGTATCAAATCTTGTACAAGCTTTACTCCACTGGTTCAAATGCAAACAACATATCTTAACCTAAAAATACTTACCGATGAAACCATACATTTCGACTTAAATGATCTACCTTTTTGAACACTACACATGCATGTACCATAATTCTTCATATTTTTCACAAAAGTTCACAAAAATAGTATTTTATAAATGAATAAATCAATAAGTCACACAGAAACTGTCAGATACTGTCAGAAATACAAAATAGCTGTTAGACCTGATTGGCAACGTTGCGGCTGGTTACGGCACTACATTTCATTCATATAGAGCATTCAATATAAAAACCGTTACACGTCATCAATCAGTTGTGAAGTCATAGCCTTGCAGTGTTGCCCAATCTTCAAAATAGTCTAAGAATGTAGGAATTTTTAAAACTATGAGGTTATGTTTTTTGGCTATGTTAATAGGAACAAGTAATTTTAAATGTATAATGAATTCTATATAAAAGCCAATGAAGGTCATTGATAATGTTTAAATTAAAGTTTTAAAAAAACACTGAATTGTAAATTCGTAAAATAAGATATTCAGCGTTGCCATATTTACGCAGTTCTTCGAAACCCTAATATTTTGTTTAGATTAATATTGATTTTTTAATAAAAAGTTTAGCTTATATTAAAACTTTGATAATTTGATTAAAAACATATTTTTATTTATATATTATAAAATTATAGTTACAGGACACATCAAATTTTATTTTTCGAAAGTAATTTTTCCAAATAATTTTGACAGACTGATAAAATCGGCAAAGACGCAATAAACGAGAATCTGGTGGGAATAATGATTTGCCACATAAAAATGTAAACAATTTGGTCTCTTAGTTGTAATGTCTTTGGTAGATACTGGCTTCAAACAAAGTCTATGTTAAACTGCGCCCGTAACACATCTATATTTCATTTGTTTATCTAAAGGTAATAATTTAAAAGTTACTTGCATAAATTAAAATAAAACATAAGTTTAAAGTCTTTTTTGATTCTATACTTCCACTGCGACACTAAAATTACTAGACTATCTGTATTTTTCATAACTTGCCTTTATAACTTCTCTATTTCCTCTATTTTTTTTCCATTCCTTGTAGTTTCTTCTCTATAAAAAATATCAGACGAAACTTTATTTTCCAAAGAAGAAATATCATTCGAGATATCACTACTAATTAATTTTTTTATAGAAAATATTTCAAAAGACTCTTAAGAAGAAAATTTCGGAAAAACTTTATTTTCCAAGGAAGAGATATAAAAAGAAATTAAAGAAATTATAGCTTGACGATTTTTTAGTTCTCAATTCCGTCACTTTTTAATCACTCAGTTTGGACAATTTACCCTCTACTTACAAAAATAATAAATTTGCTATTATCTTATATAAATTTACTAATGGTTTTTAAAATTATTTAAAACTAATGTAGTGTGTAATTGTTAACGTACTTTTTGCTCATTGTTATCAATTATTACTGCTCAATTTTCTTCTAGGCCTGATGATGGCCTTTGACCGAAATTAGTTCCCGTATAAAAATGTCCTTTCTCTTTTACGAATTATACCACAATTTGTGCAATGGGCAACCCTCTTACTTTTAAAAAAATAGCATTTTTTCAAATTCTATCAACCCTAAAATAATTATTGAACTATTATCAAATCCCGTTTTTTTTTGCAGGTCTGAATCAGTTACTTTGGTACTATGCAGAATTAGAAAAAAATAAATGTTACCATTTACCAACTGGCTTGCCTGACTTTGAAAATAACGATAAAGCATGTACAATTTGGAGACGATATGCAAAGTAAGAAATTATTTAAACAGATAGTATAATAAGATCCATGTTTAAATACAAAACTCAAGTGTGTTGTCTTTAAGCGATTCGTAAATTTACTTTACATTCACGGATTTGCTAATGTAAGTTCCAGTAGAACATTGAAACTACCTGGAATTCTAGAGCAGTTATAGGGCAAAGACACACGACGCTCATTTAAGACGAGCGGCGGCCGCTCGTCGGCCGAGCGTACACAGTGGCACTTTTACAATTCATACTTACGCACACACGAAACAAAAAATCAATTTGAGTTCAAGCGGCACGCTTCGGCCAGGTTTCGGCACATCGTTTGGATGATGTGCCGCTCGTCGACTTTCGTCGAAGCGTTCCCTGTCGTCTATTGGAATTACATGTAAACGCACAGACGATGGCTGTTTCTATAAGCTAAGAAGTCATTGCGCGATTGACAAACTTGTTTAAAATGGCTGAGACTGTTGATATGGAAAAATTAATAAATGAAATACAAAAAAAGACCCGCCATATGGAATATGAAAACAGTTGAATATTCTAATAAAACCAAAAAAGAAATGCGTGGGAAGAAATAATAAATATACGAGGATATATATATATATATATATTGTGATGGTTTTATTTTTTTTTTATTATTTTATTTTATATTATTAATTTATTTTTTATAGTATTTTTTTTTTTATATATTTACTTTATTTAAATATTATTTAATTTATTTAAGATATTTTATTTTTTTTTAACTTACCTTAATTTTTCTTAGCCAGCTAGTCAGTCTTTAAAGCAAACAGATTCTCTCATCTCAAGGGCGGTTCTGTCAATATCGTGTTCTATATGAAAAATATTTTTTTTTTTTTTATTTTTTAACTGATTATTATTTTTTTTTAATACCTTAATAAAAATGTACCTTTTTTTTACCTAATTTTACCGTACTATAGTTTTTCTTGAAATAAATTTGTTTTTAATTAAAAAAAAATATCCATTTATTTTCAATTAAATCCAGCAAAATGTGTAATTAATGCATAAAAACTTTAAATAATAAATACCTTATATCTAGTTACTAACTAATATTAATAGTTGAAATTATTTTTTTTTTTTTAAATTACATAATTTCAACTAAAATTAAATTGGTCCAATTTACTTGTTTCCTATTATATATTAGTACACTTATTCTACTTAATATGGCAATTATACGACAAATCGTGCCATCTATTAGTTTACTCACTAACCTCTTTTGCAACTAAAAGTTCCCTATACTCTAAATTAAATCATGTTCAAAAATGTTCGCTAGATGTAGTACCTTATTAAATCTTTGATAAACCACGAATTCTAGTTTCATTCCACGGTTTTTTTAATGTTTATTGACAAAATGCAACTGCAATTATTACTCTCTTGCTGTCTGTATATGAATTTACGATATAATTGGTAAGTAACTGGTGCAATCTTTAGAAATATTGAACGTATCTATTTTACTGGCAATTTGTGTATAAAAGTTTATTTTAGGTTACCACTTATCTGTATTCCGGCACGTGATTTCTCCAGCTCCACGCCAAGTATTTTCTAGCCTAATTTTTTATTAGACATATGTGAATTCCTTGAAGATTCCATTTAGTTCTTTCTTCCGATACACCAGGTAACTATTTCCTACCTTATATTACAAATTACTACAACTAACCTCTTATTTTTTATATTTGTTTATAAACAAATTTATTTCAAAATGATTATCTTTGCTTTGAATATCTTTTTGTTGAATTTAACTTTAATTCTTTCAATTTTAATTTTTATGTCATTAAAATTCAAAATGTCTCCCAGAAACATCAAAAAATGCCCAAAAACTGTTTATACCGCCTGACAACCGTCGTTTCTAAGGAAAGATAACATCTGCTCTCCTCGCTATAAATGCATATCGAATTTCATTATTTTGTGCCGTCATTTTCATTAAGGTATTTATAGATATTCTTTCTTATTATTAGTTGTGCAAAACATACCGGGTGTTCTATTCTCAATTAACATGTTATTCTAAATCAGGTAATTGTTTTGTCAAATTTTGTGTACACATTTATTTTTGTTTAACTTTTAATTGTCAAATTGATTCAACTTGTCTTATGTTATACAGGATTGTTCATTAATCCTAGATATTATTTGATGAACCTATTTGCTTTATACTGGGTGGATTATTTTTCAATTTTACTAATCACAATAGATTAAAATAAATTATTAATATACAGGGTTATTCATTTGTACCGGATATTATTTTGTAAATTTGTTTATTTTTATTATTTGCTATATTAATTCAAATTAATGGTCACACTTGATTAACATAGTTTATAAACATACAGGGTTGTTCATTTGTACTTGATATTATTTGGTAATTTGTTTATTTTTATTATTAGCTGTACTGTTTAAGTTTACTAGTTAAATCGATTAAAATCGTGTATTAACATACAGGTATGTTCATTATTATTAATTATCATAACAATTATTTTCTCTTATTCGAGATTTTATTCTTCTGTGCTTCTTTATACCCTTATTTTGATTTTAATATATTGTATTTCGTTGTAATATATATATAACGAGACTGGTGCTATAACTTCTTTCAGAGGTAACATTTTATAACCCAAAAAATGAGACATGAAAGCCTTATATTTAATGTACTACCCCGCAAGTAGGCTTTGATTTAACTTTTGACATTTATTACAAATTAATTATTGAATTGTCAGTGTTTGGCTTACCCATCGAAAAATGCAAGTGGAGCAAAGATACGCGATAAAATTTTATGTTCGATTGGGTAAAACACCAACTGAAACTTTTGAAATGATTAAAGGTGCATATCTAGATAAAAGTTTAGCACGATGTAGAGTATTTGAGTGGCATAAAAAGTTTAAAGACGGTTGTGAATCAGTTGAAGATGAACCTCGTCCCGGTCGACCACAAACTGCGAGAAATGACACAAAAATTGCAGAAATTAACGACTTGATACAAAATGATTGCCGGATTGCATAAAACGAATTTCTGACAATGTTAATTTGTCTTACGGTACCACTCAAAAAATTATTCATGAAGATTTAGAATACCGGAAGATCGCGGCAAGATGGATTCCAAAAGTGATGACCGATGAACAAAAAGCGAATCGAGTGACAATTTGTCAGCAGTGGAAAAGGCAATTGCAACGTAAACCACAGTTTTTAAATAATGTGGTTACATGTGACGAAAGTTGGTTTTATCATTACGATCCTGAATTGAAGTCTCAAAGTATGCAATGGAAGCATAAAGGCAGCCCAAGACCGCAGAAGGCCAAAACTGCTAAAAGCGCTGGTAAAGTGATGCACCTGATTTTTTTTGATGAATTTGGCATTATTTACGATCACATTGTACCTAGAGGACATACAGTAACAGGGGAGTACTATTCTAATGTACTTCGAGGACCCTTAAAGGCAAAATTAAAAAAAAAAAGGCCGCTTTTTCAGGACTTTGGCTGGACGCTGCGTTACGACAATGCTCCGGCTCATAGATCAATGATTTGTCAACGAACAATTAAAGAATTAGGGGTTGAAATTATGGTTCATCCCCCCTACTCTCCTGACCTTGCTCCATGTGACTTCCATTTGTTTCCTGAAGTCAAAAAAGAATTGAGAGGTAGAAGATTTGAGTTGGATTAGAGCTCAACAACGCTGTGATGGGTATACTAAACAGACTATCAAAAAATGGTTTCTCAGAAGTTTATGATAAGTGAATAAAGCGATGGGATAAGTGTATTCAACAGAATGGAGAGTACTTCGAAGGATAGTTGTTGAATTTTTTTAAATAAATGTTTCGTTGTTATACTATAGCACCAGTCTCGTTATTTTCTGATACATCCTCGTATTTTCCAATGAAAGTGCTACAAACGAAGAAAAAAAGATACTTGGTAAGTTCGTTATAAATATTAAAAAAAAGTAAATATATCAAATGTCGTTGTTTTCGTGACGAAACTTCTTAAAAAAAATTCCAAAAGCACTAAAAACGTTGTAAGATTTACCATAAAAGTATTCCTTAAAATCACTTAAATGGATTCGCTAAATCGTAGATAAGATATTTTACAGAGTGGCATAAAAATCTAAATTTCAAAAAAATTGTTAGGTACATAGAAGGTGTCGTTACAACAACGATATTTCACAAAAAAATTTTACAAACAATAATGAAGTTGCGACGCAAATAAATTAAAATAACTATTAATAATATATTAAATATATTTATCTTGTCAATCTAAAGGTGCAACATTTACAAAATAATTTTTAAATAAATCTCTATTGTCAAGTGCTCTTGGGTTTCCTATACTTTTTACATCTTCATTAAAGTTACCAAATGCTGATGATGAAGGATTTGAACAATCATGAGTAGCATTTCTGTCTCTTTTTCTAACAAAATTATGAAGTATACAAGCAGCTTTGATCATTTTCTCTGCTAAATCTATATCAACATTTAGTGGCCTATGGAAAATCCTCCATTTATTAGCTGAAATGCCAAAGGAAGACTCAATATACCGTCGTGCTCTTGAGAGCCTATAGTTGAAAATTAATTTTTCCCGAGATAAGTTTTTACCACCGTATGGTCTTAATAAATTGTCAGACAGAGGAAAAGCCTCATCTTCAACTATTACAAATGGATATTTAATATTATCACTTCCGATTAGTGTTGGACAAGGAATTTTAAGTGTCTTGTTTATCATTTTTTTATACAACTGCGAGATTTGAAAAATTCCAGAATCGCTAGATTTTCCATATGACCCAACGTCAATATATGTAAATAAATAATTACTATCACACATAGCGAATAGTACACTTGAATAATAATTTTTGTAATTATAAAACATGGAACCACTATTTGAAGGTCGAATAAGTCTAATGTGTTTTCCGTCGATTGCACCTATACAGTGAGGAAAATTAGCTTGTTCGTCAAAACCCTGAGCAATTCCTTTCCAATTTTCGGATGAAATTTCGTACGTGATAGACGTTTCCAAATTGCGTTACAAACCTCGTTAACTATTTTGCTAGCCGTTGATTTATCAATTCTAAAAGCGTAGACTAAATCAGCGAATGTACAGCCTACGGCTAGATATCTAAAACAAAAAAATATATTTTTAGGAACCGAACTTCAAAAAAAATGGAAGAATGCTAGGGACAGATACAGTCGTGACGTTATTAAGACAATTGGAAAATCTGGACAGGGAGCAAAGAAAAGGGCCTCTTATGTATACGCCGTTCAAATGTCATTCTTAGAAGATACAATACAGCACCGTGCTACGGATAGTTCAATGAATGATGATCAAGTGGTACATTCTCAGGCATTAGATAAAGAGTTTGAAATGAATGAAGGAGCTCAAACATCAAACGCATTAAATGAAAACAACATAACAGGACAAGCTCTCCAACAGTCTCATGCAACTATAAGTTTTAACCTCTCAGTTAACTTGACAGAAAAAGTTGTAATAGGTAAAAAAAGAAAAATACCACTAATCGAAGCAAAGTTAATCGAAGCTTTGGATGCCAACGCAAAGCGCCGCAAAACAAAAGAAAATGAAAATGACGATGATCGGTTATTTTTACTGTCACTACTGCCATAGTTAAAACAACTTTCACCACATTTAAAATTAAGTGCCAGATTAAGTATTTTACAAGCTCTTAATAAATTCGTATTGGAAATCCCTTATAATCAGCATCAACCAGCTCCATTCCACTATCGAGCTCCGAGCACCGAGCATCGAGCACCTCCGGATTCACTTCATCAGCAACCACTGGTATACTTGCAACATTCTCAGCATCAGACCTATCTTCAAGCAACGGAGAAAACACCAGAACATCAACAGATGCAATCGAACACAGCCCCAACTGAAATCTTACCCAATGAAACAACCTCGCCACTTCAGTCTCCTTCAGAATCTATATATTCTTACTATAGTAACTATTCAACAGATAGTTCTAATGTTTTTTGAGTTCATATTCTTAGTTTATGTAAGTTCATTTCATATGTGTTATGTTGGTTTAATCTTAAGTAGAAAGTAGTTACTTCTTTTTATACGTTGAAATAAAATTTCTAAATACTTACCTTAGGGTTACTACCAGTTTTTCCTCCGGTGAAAAGCTTTCCCTCATTACTGTGTTTTGTTTGGTTAAGTCACTTTCTATGTACCTTAGTAATTCATTAAACTAATTTTTGGACATTCTGACGAAATTAAAGAATTTTTCCTCATCATCTTGTAACGTAGTCTTAAATAAGTTATAATACATACTTTTATTATGGCGTTCTTTAACTATTGGATGAACCCACATACGTCGATTTTTCTTTTTCTTTAATCGTAAATATAGTAAACCAATTGAAATTAAAAAATACTCTTCCGAATCACTATCCATTGAAAAAATTACAACCGACAACGTCTAGTAATTTTAATAAACTAGTTTGGTGTATAATATTTGTGAAACGGACATCGTCTGTGCGGTAGACTCGGCAGACGAGCGTTCGCTGCTCGTCTTAAATGAGCGTCGTGTGTCTGCCCATAATGTCTCACCACAAACCATAACTTCGACTCACCTAAGTCAGACTCACTCGAGTTTTGTTTGTAAATATTGATCTAAGAAATTATACATTTCAAGTTTTCCTATTAAGGGGTTTTTAGTATTTTTACCATATTTTTAACTGCAAATAAATACTAATTACGCCACTGCATTGGGCACGAGCTACTCATTACATTACCCATTTAATTTACAAAGTAAATAAATGCAATCAGATATAGTATGTCGCGAAATAAATCACGTACGATATTCTTGCCGCCAATTAGTAAAAACTTATTTAACTTAAACTATTCCACAAAAAAGAACAAATAACAGAATACTTTAAGTCATTAGGAAACAGAGTTTTAGCAGGCGGAGATTTTAATGCTAAAAATACAGTATGGCACTCTAGACTAACAGAACCAGGAAGAGGCAGAATTGTTTACAATATAATGCAAGAAATACATCCAACATATACCGCTAAATATAAAGCCAACCCTGCACTTAAATTAACTTAAAAGTATCGAGTTGATTAACCGCCATATATTCATCTCACTAACAGGAGAAATCCAAACAGTAGATGCAGTTGTAATGTCATGATCCAAGCCACTTTTATTTTGTGTGGAAAATAAAAACAATATACGCTAGCTTTCCAAGTCTAGAACAATGACTTGTTTGTTTCTTAGACATATAAAGAATTAGGCGTAAGTTCCAAACCCTAAAATAACCAGCAATTAATACTAAGATGAAGTGATAAGTGTTCTGAGCAAATTGAGCCGTTGGGCTTATTTTATATTTACTAGTACATAATTTAATTGAAATATTTGTTAATTGTTGAACTTTAAAATGTTTTAAAATTAAAACTAAAAAAAGAGTGAAATGTAAAGTGAATTGTCATAGAAACAGTCAATTGCCAACATCTACGTAATGCAACAAGAATAATACTCTTCGAATAGGGTTACACAGGTAATTATATACTTAAACTATAGTTCAGTTTGGTTTTTCGCGGTACCTAGCAGTGCCTTACTTAAAGAAATGTGCGTCACCGGCATAAACTGTTTGTCGTGAATGCTACAAACTGAATCTATACCATGTATTAACTTACACATGTACATACCGGCTCACAGAATCTGCCCGACCTTCTAGACTTTTTCGTAACAAAATGCATAGCTGCTAGATATTTGGAAATCGAAGATTATACACCCGTTATAGCAACTATTAGTGTTACAATTGTCAAAAGAAATAAAAAACAAACGTCAGCAACTCCTTATAAACAAGAAACGACATCTAATTTGCTGTAAATTACCTAAACAGTTTAATACAGGAATCTTCTCGAGAAAGCACTGCAGATATACCAATTAAGAGACAACATCAAAACTGTTAAATCATAGTGAAGCAGAAAATTGCAGAAAAAAGGAGACTAAGAAGAATATAAAAACATACTAAATAATAGTAAGACAAATATAAACATAAAGCATCTCTAATATTAAGAAAAATCAAGGTTTTCAACGTGTATTTAGAAAACTTAACAAGTACAGCTAATGCAGATTACTTGCTTAGCGAGCGGCCAGAAATACAAAATACCACAAAGAACCCACAAACCCCAATCAGGAACAAACTAGAACCCAGATCAGAACTGACCAAATACCTAGAAAATATTTTTAACCTCTGCCGCCAGGAACAAGACCAGACGAAATAAAAAAATTAAAAATGAACTTGAAACACCACTACCATTACCAGAACTTTTTATAACAAAAGAAGTAAACGAAGTAAAATACTCATAAAAAAACTACCAAAAGAAGTATTTTTCTTTTGAGAGTCATAGGATACTTTCCTAGGATATTTTCTTCCACAGTGGAAAATCGCCCAAGTTTTCTTTATTTACAAACCTGGAAAACCTCCAAATGAAGTCTCCTCCTATCGACCCATCAGCCTCCTTCCAAGCTTGAGCATATTACTTAAGAAGCTGCTAATAACGAGAATAAGACCCCATATTAAAACGAAAACACTATACAAACCACCTTTTCGGGTTCAGGAAACAGCCTAGCACTAGCTCCAGAAAGTAGTAGACGCCATCAATCATGCCTTTGAACATAAAATCTACGGTGTAGCAGCCTTATTGGATGTATGCCAAGCCTTCGACAAGGTATGTCTTCAAGGTCTACTCTATAAACTGAAACAATCCCTTCCAGATACTGGGTATCAGATCCTAGAGTTTTAGCTACAAGAAATGTACCACATGGTAAGGTATGGGCTACAAACCACCCAAATATTGCTAGTTAAAGCAAGCCCACAATGGAGCGCGTTAGGTTCCCTACTCTACCTGCTATTCACAGCTGATTTACCAATACATCCTAATACATTCTACTACGGCGTTTTTTGCTGATGACAAAGCAATAATGGTAAACCGCAGAGAACCTAGTGAGGCATCAAGTGGCCTTCAACAGCATCATCTCAACAAAATCCAAGATTGGGCAAGGATGTGGATACTAAAATTTAACGAACATAAGTTAGTATGGGTCAGTGATATTCAAAGTGTGCTCCACGGAGCCCTGGGGCTCCGCAAAGCCTTTGTGAGGGCCCCGCGAAGAAAATAATAAGCATAATAAAAAAAAAACAGTACTATCGCTACAAAAAAGGGAGGGAGCTGACTTGAAGACTTATTTTTTAGATTCACTGAGAGGACTTGAAGGACTTGAAGGACTGGAATAGGTTATATACAATAAATGTAGAGGCAACACCCAAAGAGTAACCCTGAATGGTCAATTCCTCCCGCAGACGAATTCCGTAAAATACCTAAGTATTTTTGATATGCCCTTGATATTTTTTAGGTATTTCATCTCGACTTTTATTTTCTGCTGATTCGTAAGCGTTTAACTTTCATAGCCATTGGCTAAAACCGGTTTTATTAATGTTATCAAAACTGATGTTTTATAATAATATACAGTAACTAATCTTAATAAATATTAATTAAAAACTATTTACTTGTTTATTTGGTTTCTAAATCCTTTAAATCAAAATCTAGTACATAATTAATGCTTAAATACTTTTTTAGTCTCTTCGAAACTTCGCAGTCTCTATTTTGGGCAAGTTTCGGATTGGTGGACTTGATGTGTTTTGAGTTAACTGGTATTAAGGGTTTTACAAGATTTTGGGCTCTACTAATGTTTGGTTCCTATTCCGTAATCAATATAATTGTATTACTCAACATGTTAATAGCCATGATGTCCAATTCGTATCAGATTATATCAGTAAGTAAAATTTTTATGTAAGAAATCATCATAATAACATCATATCTCAGTCCAGGCTTGTTCAGCCTTAACCCTGAATTCATTGCTCCGTCGATTCAGGCTCTTATCACTGAGCTACTCATCTGCCTCAGCATACTATTAATTTTAATTTAAAATATAAATTGCTGTTTAAAATTATCGCACCACCTACAATTTCCGATTAATTTTGATTAAGATAATATTAACGTTTATTGTAAAAAATCACAGGTGGCTCATGTCAAGTAGGTATTCTTGTTAGTTTTGTTGCGACTATACTTAGTTTACATCATTCCAGTATTGTGCGTGTAATGTTTAAAGTTGCTGTTTAAGTGATTATCCTAATTATTTATCAAAAAGTTTAGTTTGTAAAATTAATATTTAACCTACTCGCTAAAAAAACATGAATCTAGCACGCCATTTAAACAATGATAAATGTGTAAGATATGCAACTTTGATAGTAGTGGGAACAAGTATGCGTTATGTGGGTAATTTTTTAGGTGTTCATCATTCAACAGTTAGTCGAATGGTTAGATTTAGGGAAACTGGATCTCACGTTAGAAAACGTGGTCAGGGCAGAAAGAAGGCCACACTTCAAATTGATGAGCGCTTTCTCCGACAACAAGTGTTAAGAAACCGAACAAGTGCAATTAAAGAGCTAAGTCTGTGGCCGCCAACCTCTTAATATGTTGAGCTACTTTGTTAATTTTGGAATAAACAGCGAGCTACCCACACGGAAGCCACGTAACGCAACCTAAATGAAATATTCCACAGTTAATTTATCATTATATATATTTATTTTACTATTTAACTGGTAATACATAATACATTGGTACTAATAATAAACTAATAACAAAATAACTAATATTACTAGTACGTACTTGTTCATAGCTACATTCCTACCTACCAAACGAAGGTGTTTGAAAAATAAACACAAACTTTTATCCAGCCACAACGGCATGTCACGTAAGATTTAAAAATAGTTAATAATAACAACAAAAAAGTAACGCACTATCATGAACATAAACATTGAAAAATAAAAAAGCACGTTCAATGAGAAGGCTGACACTCAGACTCATCGATAATTTTTTTAATGTTAGCAGTATAATTTGATACAGCCATTCGAATACAATTATCCAAATATTCATCTGTAAGTCGATTGCGATATTTGTTCTTAATAAACTTCATATTGGAAAAAGAAGATTCACACAAATAGGTTGAACTGAATAATGCTTTCACTTTCAAGGTAACACGGCATAGAACTGAATATTTGTCTTTACTTAGAATAGGCCAGATACATTTGGTACTTGAGACTAACGATTTTAAGGCTAAATCATTTTGAAACTCAATTACTTCCATTTCTGTTGCAGCGATGTCTTCGCCAAAGTTCTGCATAACACAAGTTGCAAACTGTTGGATATCAATTTCCATAAAGGGTGAAACAACAAACTGCGATACTAGAGCCATTTCGTTGAAATCCTTAAAACGATTTTTGAAGTTATTCTTCAGGGTAGAAACTATTTCTACATGATATTTGCTGTCATAGGGTTCTAATGGATTTTGAGATATTTTTTCTGAAAGAATAGGAAAATGCTTGGCATCGCTATTAATTAGGTTTTGTTCCCAAAACTCCAGCTTTTTGATAAATGCTTTTATATCAGAAATCATTTCCGCTAGTTCTTTGTCTCTCCCCTGAAGCTGCAAATTAAGTTCGTTTAATTTCTCTTTAATGTCCACGCGAAAACCAAAATCTCTAAGCCAGATTGAATTTTCTAGTTCCGGAGTCGGTTCATTGCGTTGTTTGAAAAATTGAACTATGCCAGATATGACATCATTAAAACGTTTCAGCACCCATTCTCTACTTAACCATCGGACTTCAGAGTGATGGAGTAGGTCCCCGTATTGACAGTCAACTTCATCGGCCAAGGTTTTGAATAATCTTCTTTGTAACGCTTGAGCTCTAATCTTGTTCACAATTTTTACCACCAGTTTCATAACGTTGTTTAGTTTCAGGAAATTTCCACATAATTCTTGCTGATGAATAATGCAGTGGTAACAGAGAAATTGCGGAAAAGTTTCATCTTTACGACATAACGCCACCAGACCCTTATCACAACCCATCATAGCTGGAGCGTCATCGGTTGTCAAGCCTACCATTTTCGATATTGGAATTTTCTCGGAAGAAATAACATTTTTTAAATGAGAAAACAACTCCTGTCCAGTAGTGTGTCCTTTCAGTGGAATACACTTCAAAAGATCTTCTTTAATCGTAAAATCACTAAAAACCATCCTGACGAACACGGCCATCTGGGCAGTGTCAACGACATCTGTTAATTCATCTAGTTGAAGTGAAAAATAAACACAGTTCTCTAAGTCAGTTCTTAACTGTAAAAAAATATCATTGCTCATTACTTCTACACGTCTCATCACTGTATTAGCAGAAAGTTGCATAGATTTTATAGCTGAAACTATCTCGTCTTTATTTCTAAAGTTGGCAAATAACGAATCAGCAGCTTCTAAAAACGCCTGTTTTATCATTTCCCCGTCTTCATAAGGTTTCTTTTTTGTGCAATTATCTGGGACACACGGTACGATGCTTCAGTTGCAGCCTTATTTTTGTTGACTGTTCTTAAAAATATTGATTGTTTTCCAATTAACTGCTTTTTTAACTGTTTCAGTTTCTCCTTTCTGGCGGCAGAATGTAGTGGGAATGATTTTTCAAAATTAGAATGTACAGTTTTATGATGTCTCTCAATATTTCCTTTTTTAGCAATGGAGACCGAAGTATTACATAACAAACACACATTTTTATTTATGAAAGTGGTATGTCTTTACCTTCTTACAACTGCTTACCATAATATTATTTTTTGTTATTCTCTACTAACCCAACCGCTGGACGTTGGTTACGCGTTCAGTTTTAAACTAAGCGCAATGTCGCCGCGCCGTGCGTATTTATCCTGTTCAAAGCAATCCTGATCGTTTTCGAACACTAACGCGCTGGTCCAGCTGGTCGGTTTTAGCCGATTTTAGCTTGATGGCGTCAGCGGCAGATCGCTCACCGCAACGTTGCCGCTGTTTATGTTTAATATTATGACAATTAGATTTTTTGTGGAATTTTCGGAAGTTTCTCTGATTTTTGCAGTTTGTATTTTTTAAATTAAAATCGTTGTGAGAGCTACCAGAATTGCCTCCGCGAGCTACTGGTAGCTCGCGATCGACAGGTTGGCGACCACTGAGCTAAGTAATCAACTCAAATGTTCGAAGTGTGAGAATTTCTGCTTTAACCGTCAGAAGAAGACTAAACGAAGCCGGATTGGCTAGCAGAAGACCTGTTACTGCACCGTAGATCACATATCACGCAGATTAAGGTTCACCAGAGATCATGCACATTAGACTGTCGATAACTGAAAGAAAGTTTTGTTCACAGATAAAACCAGAATATGTCTAAAATCTTCAGACGGTCGTGATGTAGTATGACGGAGACCTAGTGAAAGGTTTTGTGTTTTCACTATTTCTTTAAGAAAACCATTTAATGGTGGATCAAAAATGTTCTGGGAAGGAATTTGTTTTGACGCACGCACAGAATTAGTCCCTATTCGTCCACAGTATATGAATGCAAAATTATATCTAGAAAACATTATTCAAGACCATGTTATGCCGTTTGCGTCATTTATAGGGGATACATTCATTTTTATGCACGATAATATAGGCCTTACATCGCAAGACCTGTGTTAGATTGCCCAAATGAGATTAATACTCTAATCTTAGAGTAGCCACCACGAAGTCCAGATTTGAATCCAATTGAGCACCTTTGGGATGTTCTGAAAAAATCAGTTGGCGTTATGTACCTGCCCCAATCAACCTGCAAGAAGTGGAGCATGCTGTTCTGTTAGAATGGGAAAAAAAATTCGCAAGCAACCATTCAGAACTTGATAACAAGCTTGCCCAGACAAATGCAAGCGGTCATAAGAGCTCGAGGCGGTATTACGGTTATTAGGGTTCATCACTTTTTTAATTGGATTTTTCGTTAGTTTTATGAAGTTAAAAGATTTTTTTCACTTTTCAATTTTTTGTACCTTACTGCTACATTTTGCTAAATTGTTTCAATTTTAAATTAAAATAAATCTTTCTCTGCGTAATAATGTTTAAGTACCCTTATTCATATTAAACTATATTAAATTCACTAAAAATTACAATAACACAAATACAATATCAACATTTTAAGTGGTGCGATAATTTTAAACAGGAGTATATATTATAATAATTATAAAATTATTTTCTGAGGACCCAAGTTGAATAAAAGAATAATAGAATTAATCAGCTGATATTACGTGGCAAATTATTTAATAGATTTTCATATTTAAGGTGATTACAGCACCCCCTTATAATTTTCGGACAAGGATACTTCAAAAAGTAATTTTTTTAAAAAAGTTAAATTTTAGCAGAAAAAATAAGCCAATATTATTTAAAATATTGTGATGTTTGTTTATTTTCAAACAACAGTTTATTTATTAATAAATTATTTAAACACTTATTTATTTTATAATACAATTATTCTAATTTATATATACTTCGAATGTCTTTAGACTGATCACTATTTATATTCACCACTGTCTATCTACTAATTACTATTTATCTTCACTATCCATATAACAACTGACTAACTGCGTTCTCCACCAATATTTATATACAAATTTAAAAGTTTGGCGAATGAGCTAGAAAGGTCGCCAAATTATCTAGAAACTTCACCAAATTCTCTAGAAACATTATCCTTTCCTTATCTTTTCTGGAACATTAATCGAAAATTCTCCCGCCATAGTCGACATAGGTTTGGTCTTAGGGGTTTAATTATGTATGATAATCGGACAAGTTGAGCCTCAAAGGCCAAATAATACAGAGAGGGACTTGGAGTTAGAGCATGACTGAATAATGAAATGGCTCACATAACATTGCCCCCTCCTTAAGAGATAGTTCCTCCTGGAACTCTTACGAAACTAAACTGGAATGGTTGTATTTGCAACTGAATCCTCTTTTACAATTTCCAGTTGCATGGAAGTAACAAGGGACTGTCTTCGCTGTAACCTGGGCACTGGGCGAATGGCTGCAGACCAGTATCTGAACTCCGGTATCTTGAAAGATTACTTCCAGCTGATTTCCTTCTATCTTCGGCATGGCTAGTTTCTGTACATTGGACTCCAGTACATGCTCCCTTAGACTAAGTAATGCTTCCCATACATCCTGATAGGTGGATCGATCTTGGAAAGTGTTCTTCGTTATTAAATAGAAAAGATAACGCGACCCGTCTTGAAGTTTCAAGGCTTTTCCAGGGGCTGGTAACTGACATTGAAGTTCTACCAGTCGACCAAACTTCTTACGGAACACATATGCCAGTCCTCGCGCGTCGTTGATGGTGGCGGAAGTACTATGAACCAACGAGTAGTCTTTCGGAAGCGAGAGCAGATCTTGTTGTTGCTCGGTCGTAACACCATATCTGGCTTTTCCAGTACCTCCATATGCACCCATAAATTCTTCAAAGACAAGGTCTGGTGTTTCTTGAAGTTGGTTAACTTCTTCTTCATGGTCACCCTCAAATGGCGCCAACCTATTTTGATGCACTACCTTTGGTTTACCGTTTGGGATTTTACTTATACGGTAAATTACATCATTTATTTTATTCTTGATGAGGTACGGACCTTCCCAAGACCTTTGAAGCTTCGGAGAATAACCCTTTTGTCTTTTTGGGTTATGGAGCCAGACTTTGTCGCCTTCTTTGAAACATCCTTCTGTTGCTTGGGTTTCGTATCGCTTCTTCATTCTGTCGCTGGCGATTTGAAGATGGGAGCGAACTAATTCATGCATGTTGTCCATTCTTCTTCGTAACTGGATTACATAATCTTCACCAGCTACATCTTCTCCAGGTCGGCATCCAAACTCGAGGTCGCATGGTAGTCTCATCTCACGCCCAAACAAGACCTTCGCTGGTGTTTGGCCTGTTGATTCATTGACAGCGGATCTATAAGCCATTACAAAGAGCGAAAGATACTGATCCCAATCTCGCTAATGGTTTAAAACCACTTTTGACAGATATTTGTCAATGGTCTTATTCATTCGCTCTACCATTCCATCGGATTGTGGGTGCAATGCTGTGGTTCTGGTCTTCTTCATGCCTAGTCTGTCACAGATTCCACGGAAAAGTTGACTTTCAAAATTTCTGCCTTGGTCACTGTGGATTTCCAAGGACACTCCAAATCGACAGATAAACTCCTTTATCAATACATCTGCAACAGTTGCGGCCTCTTGATTTGGAATGGCATAGACTTTCACCCACTTTTTAAAATAGTCCATAACCACCAAATTGTATTTATTACCATCCTCGGTCGCGGGGAATGGTCCAGCAATATCTAAGGCGATTCTCTCAAATGGGCTACCAACGTTATATTGCTTCATGGGAGCCTTCCTTTTTCGTTGAGGTCCATTACTCATAGCACAGGTGGTACATTTCTTACACCAGTCGTTTACATCATCGGAACTTTTCATCCAGTAAAACCTTTCCCGAACTCTCTGAAGGGTTTTTCTAACACCGAGATGTCCTCCTGATGGACTGTCGTGTAATTGACGAAGTACTTCAGCTACTCTACTTCTTGGAATGACCAACTGTCTTCTGTTCTCAGAACCATCATCATTTTCAAGTACTCGCTTTAATAAGCCATCTTCCAGGATAAAGGAGTTCCATTGAGCCAAATACGACTTAAGTACTGGAGAGAGATTAGATACTTCTTGCCAAGTAGGTCGACGATTTTCCTCTTTCCAGTCTCGTAGCTTCTTTAAAACGGGATCATTCTCTTGTTCTTCCCTAAGTTTGGCAGGGGCCCACTCATCGCTGACAACCGACGTTCTTTGTACTGTAACTTCTTTAACAAATGTGGCCAACCCCTTTCCAATCAGAGTTCCTTGACCAACACCTTTATTGCGCTTCGAAGGTTCCGCCATGACAGGCGTTGCCTTCTCTACAGTTCCTTGCAACCGCCTTACTCGTATGATTTCACTACTTTCAGGTAACACCGTTCCTTCCTGTACAGCCACCGACACAGTTTTTCCATTCGTAGTGTTCTTTGGACGTTTGCGCGAACTGCTTACTTTTCCCATTTCACCGCAATTACAGCACCTAATAGTCTTCGGTTGCTTCTCAATAAGGCTTTTTATCATGTGAAACAATTGGTCCAATTTATTTCCCTGTTCTTCTTTTACAGTCCTTGCTTCACTGTATCCACCAGAATCCAGCGTAGCCGCTTCATATTCAAGAGCAGCGGAAAAGACATCGACCAATGTTTTGTGACGGGCTAAACGAAGTGTTCTTTGCATTTCATGGTCACGAAGTCCATCTACAAATGCTTGAACAGCCAAACATTCCATCATGTTTTCTGGAACTAATGGAGAAGCAAATCGCACCAACCTGGCAATATCTACTTCATATTCCTGAAGAGTCTCGTCTCGTTTTTGTTTACGATTCTTCAACTGTGACTGGAACAAATTCTCCAAGTGTTCGTGGCCATATCGCATATTTAGTCTCTTTTTGAGTTGTTCAAAATCATCTGTCTCTTCCACGGGTATAGTCTGAAGGACATCTAAAGCGTCTCCTCGAAGAGCGATGGTCAAATTTATTGCCTTCTCTCGTTCAGACCACTCGTTTGCTCTGGCAGCTGTTTCGAACTGCTTAAGGTAGTTCGTCCAAGACATCTTTCTGTCAAAAGTTGGGGCTTTAACACGAGGAGAGTTTACAACTCCTTCCAATTTCAACTTCGACTCCAACTCATGGCACTTTATTTCACTGTCCTTGGCCGGGTCTGAATGTTCCAGTTCTTCTATCTTCTTTTCCATTTCTTTTATTTTCTCCTCAACGGAAGATATTATTTTCTCCTCAACGGAAGAAATTTTATCTTACATAGAGGAAAATTCGTTCTTCATGGAAGTCATATCAGAAGAGATTTATATTTTTAAAGAAGACATTTCGGAAGACACTTTTTCTTCTAAGGAAGAAATATTGGACGAAAATTTATTTTCCGTTGAAGACATTTTGGTTTCCAAGTCGGAAGAAATTTCGGTTTTTAAAGAAGACATGTCAGATGAAACTTTACTTTCTAAGGAAGTAATGTCAGAAGAAATATCGGTTTTTAAAGCAGACATATCGTTTTTCATATCGGAAATTGAAGAAATGATAGAAGACGCATTATCCGAAAATAGAAACGTTTCCGGATCCAAACCTTCACTTTCCAGTGCTTCTTTAAGCCGTTCTGCCAGCTCTGCTTTCTTCCCTGTCGTCTGCAACTCACGATCTTCTAACTCCCGACGTAGCTCGGTCACTTTTAAATCACATAGTCTTTTAGCCATTATTGTCCACTATTTATTTACACTATTCCACTTCTCGACACCAATGTGATGTTTGTTTATTTTCAAACAACAGTTTATTTATTAATAATTTATTTAAACACTTATTTATTTTATAACACAATTATTCTAATTTATATATACTTCGAATATCTTTAGACTGATCACTATTTATATTCACCACTGTCTATCTACTAATTACTATTTATCTTCACAGTCCATATAACTGACTAACTGCGTTCTCCACCAATATTTGTATACAAATTTAAAAGTTTGGCGAATGAGCTAGAAAGGTCGCCAAATTATCTAGAAACTTCACCAACCTAGAAACATTATCCCGTCTTTTCTGGAACATTAATCGAAAACTCTCCCGCCATAGTGGTCACATAGGTTTGGTCTTAGGGGTTTAATTATGTATGATAATCGGACAAGTTGAGCCTCAAAGGCCAAATAATACAGAGAGGGACTTGGAGTTAGAGCATGACTGAATAATGAAATGGCTCACATAACAATATGCATATTTATTAAAGTTTTAAGTATTTCCAGTTTCCGAGAAAAAAAATCAAAGGGCTTTAAATTTTGAAATATCATGATGAAAATAAATGCATTCCTCAATAGCTCTATTCTTAATATAATCCATGAATTTAAGCTCTTAATGTTTTGTTAATGATTTTTTAAAATTCGCCAAAATTAGTGGCTAAAACGCCTCGTTAAGTGCTATCTTATGGTGTAAACTAGTGTAAATCATTTCAGAAAACGAATAATGACTGATAGTAACAGTCGCGTTACAACAGAAGGTAGCACTTGACAAGGCGTTTTAGCCACTAATTTTGGCGAATTTTAAAAAATCAATAACAACACATTAAGAGCTCAAATTTAGGAATTATATTAAGTGTAGTGTTGTTTAGTTTCATTATATTTCAAAATTTAAAGCTCTTTGAATGTTTTTCTCGGAAACTGGAAGGAATTAAAACTGCAAAAAATATGCATATTTTAGATATTATTGCCTAATTTATTTTGCCTAAATTTAAATTTTTAAAAAAAATTACTTTTTGAGATATCCTTGTCCGAAAATTATAAGGCGGTGCTGTAATCACCTTAAGAACTCGTCAATTTAATAATAAATTGATTTAACTTTATTTTGGATTTTAATATATGAAATATATTTATAATACAAACTACATCTAAGTATAAAATTTGTTTGTTATATGTATATCTATAAATCAGCGTAAATGTGTTTTTAGGAAAGATCAGACACCGAATGGAAGTTCGCACGAAGCAGACTGTGGGTAAACTATTTTGATGAAGGTGATGCCCTTCCACCTCCATTTAATATTATGCCTAATCCAAAAGTAATTCTAAAAACATTGGGAATAAAGAAATTAGAAAGAAATACTTCGAGCTATAAGGTAAAATAATAATAATAATAATAATAATAATAATAATAATAATAATAAATCGCCTTTATTAATAATTTTTCAAAAAAATAATTTTAGTAACGGAGCGAGATTTAGCCATAGGCTATTCTTACATCGAACTCCTCTTAATTTAGAACAGAAATTAAATTGTTAAAATACAATACACAAATAAGATTTAAGTAGTGAAAACATTTATTGATTATTAGTTAGAGCTAGAGCAGGAGTTTTTTAGTTGGTGTTTAAAATTTTATCAAAAATAAGTATTTTTTAGATCAATGTCTAGTTCATTATAAAGTTTAATTGCATTGTACGTAAAACTTCTAACAAAAACAGCAGATGTGTTGTTGCATTGTTAGTGTAAATTGTCTGCGGATATTTACATTGTGAATCTGATTACGAGAAATTAATTTAGTTGACAAATATGGTGGATTTTGAGACTTTAGTATATTGTGAACAAAAGAGAGATTATATTTAAATAAGTTTTTGATGTTTAACCATTGCATCTGCCTAAAATACTCGTATGTTGAAATGTGATTATATTTGCGCAACTCATAAATAAAGCGACAACAGGTATTTTCAATTTTTTGAAGTCCGTTCGCAGTTACTAAATCTAAACAAGGATAATAAATTACTATGCAATATAATATTTTATTCAATATTAGAGTTTCGCAAAGGTATTTTTTCATTTGTTGGCAAATAATAATTTTAATGTTAAATAACACTGAGAAGAAAGGTTATTCTCATATTCAATAAACCGAAAGTTCTCATCTAAAAGTAAGCCTAGACTTCTAGGTACATTTACACACGGGACTGTCTTTTCATCAATTTTAATTGAGATATTACTTTTTATACTTGAACGTGAGTGTGATGCAAGTGAGTATCATCAACAAAAAATTGGACTTTGCACGTTTCTATTTGTTTGTTTAAATCAGACGTATAAATGAGGACTAACCTTTGCCCTAGAATGGAACCCTGCGGATCTCCTGATTGAATTTATAGGAAACTTGTGACTGAGTATTTAGTAAAACTTTTTACGAACGATTACTAAGATGTTTTTATAAAAGAAAGTGGCCTTTCAGAAAAAACATAATAATTGCTTATAAAACTAATAAAAGGTGATATAAAGTATCAAATGCTTTAGTATAGTGAAGTAACACTAGTGCTGTAGCTTGTATTTGATTCTTAGATTAAACCGAAAATGTAACATTGCACACTGCGCATGTTGTCTATTTTAAGCCAAAGTAACCCACCAATTGAAAATCATTGTTGCACGACGCCACCCGAATTGCTCCGATTTCCATTCAGCGATCACCTCCACCTGAGTTTAATCACCATTGACAGCTGTTTTTTGATTTATTTGTTGGTATTTTAGCAATTTAAAGTGTTCTAGTTATTCAATTTCAAGTTCAAAATGTCACGATGTATCTTGAAAAATTGTATGTACTTATAATACAAGTACTACTGTTATGAATATATTCGTTTTCAGCAATAAATATTTATTAACGTTTTGACATAAAGCGCTATGATTCTCTGTGCTGAATACTTCAGATCCGCATTAAGGGGTTTCAATAAATATTAAGCATCAGAAATCAGATTTCATATTACTTACATAAATTTACAAAAGGGTAAAATTTTGAACATTTAATTTAAATAAATAGTAAATAGGGATTATTGCTAACGAAATTTTGTATTTAAAAAGTAGTTTTATAAGAATGTTTTCTAGAGGTAGTTTTTAGCCCTTTTTGGTAGGTAAATAAGAGGTAAAGAATCATAGTTGCTAGCTAAATTTTATTTTTATAAGGTATTTTTATAAGGTATTTTTATAAGAATATTAGATGAAATACAGGACGACCTACTTAAAATTTCAAGGTTCATCTTATTTGCGGTCAAATCGAAACTGACATTGAATTTTCAGTCTTAAAACAAAGTAATCTAGTATAAGCAAAAAAAAAATACTAAAGTTACAGGAGTTAGGTCCGATTCCACCGTTGTGTTAAACGGAGATTAAAATTACAGTGTTAATGTAAAAATGTCATTTTAAACTTCGTTTAACACAACGGTGGAATCGATCCTTAGTCACGTTAATAAAATGTTACATTACAAACCCCTAAAAAACTCGAACATAATTTTCGTTTACTAAAAAAAATCCAAAATTTAGCAATATTTATTTATTATACAATCGAATGCGATTTCAAAAATAACTGGATCAAAAAATCCAAATCTCTAAATTTTGGAGCTAAATGCTCAGATAAAAGCAAGCGACCGATAGGGGTTACAAAAATAATCGATTTATCGATAATTCTGATATTTTTTAATGAAAATCGATTTATCCGCTGTTTTTAATAAATTATTTTAATTTTTTTTAAGATAATGTATTAATCTATTTTAAAGGAAATACAAAAAAAGTAGATTTATTCAAAATAATCGATTTATCGTTTAATCGGTTTTTTAATTATTTGATTATTTTCGATTTTTCAAAGATATTATATGAAAATAATCGATTGGATATAATCGGTTATTGTAATCGATATTTTGGTTATTTTTTTAAAATTATCGATTTATTGGATAATCAGCTTTTTAATAATCAATTATTTTCGATAATCGAATAATCAATTTCAAAGGAAATATTAAAAAAGGATTATTAGAAAATAATAGATAATTCGTTTTATTTTTTGGAAAAACGATTTATCATAGAATCGGCTTCTTAATTAATTGGTTATTTTCGATTAGGCGATTATTTTGGAATTATTGATTATTTTTGGTATTTCAAAGATAATCGAATTATCGATTTTAAAGGAAATACAATAAAAATAGATTATTGATAATAATCGATTGATCGAAAATAATCGATTATTTAAAATAATCGATCATTCTGTTTTTTTTGAAAATCGATTTGTCAGTTAATCGACTTTTTAATTAATCGATTATTTTTGAAATACAATAAAATAGATTATTGGTAATAATCGATTTATCATAGAATCGGCTTCTTAATTAATTGATTATTTTCGATTAGGCGATTATTTTGGAATTATCGATTATTTTCGGTATTTCAAAGATAATCGAATTAACGATTTTAAAGGAAATACAATAAAAATAGAATATTGATAATAATCGATTGATCTAAAATAATCGATTGATCGAAAATAATCAATTATTTAAAATAATGGATCATTCTGTTTTTTTTTTTAAATCGATTTATCAGTTAATCGACTTTTTAATTAATCGATTATTTTCGATTTTTCAAAGATTATCGAATAATCTGTTTCCATGGACGAAAAAAAAATGGATTATTTGAAAATAATCGATTATTTAAAATAAACGATAATTCTATTTATATTATATTTTGTAAACACTGATTTATCGGTTAATTGGCTTTTTAATTATTCGGTTATTTTTGATTTTTCAAAGATAATCAAGTAGTCGATTTTAAAGGAAATGACAAAAAATATATTGTTTGAAAATAATCGAATAATCGAAAATAATCGATTATTTTCAATGATCGATAATTTATTTCGATAATCACTCATCCCTAGCGACCAAATGCCTTTTAATAGATTTAAATTTTAAAATGTTATCTGGTTTCAGACATATGCATTTCTTGAGTTTTATGTGACTCATCCTTTATAATAATTAATATTCTTAAAGAAAGAAGCCTTAATATACTTTTTTCTGAGGTTACAATACAAAACAGCATTTTCTCATTTTGACTAATTTTTAATAATATGTAATAGCCGTAGAAAAAATATAATGTTCAACTCATAAGGGTAGATTTGCAGTATTAGCCTGCGCACATGCTATTTTTATAATACTCGTAGACAATGAGTAACATTTTTTGCTCTATTAACAATATACTATTTCAACATTTTACTGTAATCTCTTGCAGAAAAGTCCGTAGTAAATAAACGCTAACGAAATATTCTATAAAAGGTCTTCTCTTTACATAAAATGTCGTGGCATCTGTTTGATATTAAAAAATCACGTTAATTTTATTTCATAATACAGAATTCGATTAAACACCTTTTAAATAAACCTAATAGTTCATTAAGATGCTAATAAACAAAGTCCGGTCCCAGTCACAGAGTTCGGGTCGCCGCGTGTCGCCGCCCAGTTCCCCCACTCTGTTAACCCTTCTTTAGAAATTGGCAACATTTGCGCAGGTTTAAAACCGGTGTATGTTATATCTCTGGTCTCTTTTATCTAAGATTTGATCCTATCCCGACATTACTGAATCCGTTAAGTGGCAAAGAGCAGTGGTGGTACTGTGTCCTTTTTGAAATCGCGATTGATGCAACGGAAGTATAGTATTAGATGATAAGAATTCATAAATTTGCTCATATACAATATCTACGCTACTAGAATTTGATTTTATTGCACCTATAGTTTTGGAGATGGTGTCAACATCAACAAGGCTAAATTCAAATGTTTTATTAAGATTAAATTTATTTGTTCTGTAGTATATACGCAATTTTTTCAAAGTAGTTTTCATTACGATATCCAGGTGAAATTTTAAATTAAGTTTGGATATTAGTCTAGAAGAGAAAACTTTCTTCATAAATTTGTATCACGATATTACGCTTTCAAATACTTTCCTTAGGTCATATATACATATATAACTGCGGGGACATTGCAACTCATTTCAGACTTTATAGCTGCCCCACTCACAAATATAATCAACATAAGTCTCTCTACAGGCATCTTTCCTCAACTTTTTAAGCAGTCTTTAATTATTCCTATATATAAAAATGGCGAAAAAATAGAAATAACTAACTACAGACCGATAGCCCTGATTTCTTCACTAGGGAAAATTCTAGAAAAAGTGATAAAACATCAAATATGTGGCTTCCTGGAAAAAAACAAATTGTTATCAAAAAGACAATATGGATTAAGGGAGGGAAGTTTAACGTAAAACGCAATAATAAGGGAACGAACTAATAAAATTTACTGTTTAATTGACAATAAAAATCTGATGTGTCCAACACATGACTTTCCTA